GCCCTGCTCTCCCGTACCGCTGCCTCAGCCCTGGCCTGGCGGCCTGGCACAGCTGTGCGGCAAAGAGCTGGGAGGCTCCTGGAGCGGGGCCTGCGCAGGTTCCTCAGTAAAACCACCGCAGATTTGGTTAGAATTACCTTCCTGAGGTATTTTCCTGGGAAAAAAACCCAGATCTTTCCTGAGGTATTAACAGGTTTTAAATTGTTTCCTTTCTTGTGCAATAATGACTGTTTGGCCTGGAAGTAGGTTGCTGGATTCAACAGTGTGTCAGTCAGGTGTCCCAGCTCCCGGTGGTTAGGTAGGACGCAGGGTTTGTTTGGGTTTTTGTATCTTGCTCTCGTGTAATGCTTTACTACATGTCTTCAGCAGAATGCGTGAGCTCTGGGAACGCTGTCTTTGCCTTTACTACAAGTCTTCAGCACAATGCGTGAGCTCTGGGAACGCTGTCTTTGGAAGCTGGAGATGCGTGAATACTTGGTGCATATTGGTTTTCTGTTAAACGTGTAAGGCTTTATGTGGGAGTGAACAATTTTTTTTTTAATTTCCAGGTTTCTGATGAAGCTGAGCCATGAGACTGTGACCATCGAACTGAAGAATGGGACACAGGTGCATGGAACTATTACAGGTACGGCAGGATGGGAGACTACGGCAAAGTATTGCCTGTTACCTTTCTGCTAACAATCGGCAGCCGTGGTTTGGGCTGAGCTTTTTTGTTTTGTACTCCCTCTTGTGGGGACCTTCTCTGTAAGATGCAGGAGATGTTCATTTCAGTCCATGTCTTTACGTGGAAGCTTAAGGTGTGTTTGTTACAGAAGAGTCTGGACATTGGCAGAAGTTGTTGGGAGGCAGTAAATTCGCTGGAGTCCTGTGAAATTGTAGTAAGCTATAGTCGCATAAAAACGTTACAGTTGAATTGCCAGAGGAGGGGAACTTTTTTTAATGGTAGTACAGATAAATGGCAAATGTTAACTGTTGATAGGGTCTTAAGTCGGTTAAAATTTGTTTGTAGGCAATTTTAATCTAAAAATTAATTATTTCTGTTGAGCATGTTTTAACTCGGGTTAAGGTGAACTTATATGGAAATGCATCTTTGCACATACTTGCATTGATTTGATGAAACTGATTTGAAAACAGATTGCTTGGTGGGGGATACAGGGCAAAAAGGAATCCTGGTGTCGAGAATCTGGTCCCCTGCTGTTGCCAAAGGTCTATCATAGAAGTTTGTGGGTGTTATTGTCTAGTAGGTGCTTCTTCGTATCACTGAACTGATAGTTGCAGGAAAAGCCTTGGTGGATAACATTATATGGTTCTCATATGTATTGAAAAATGTGCGGACTATTTTGTTTGCTTTAATAATACTAGTGAGGGATATTGTTCTGAGACATTCATGTTGGCATTACTTTAGAGACAATCAGGTGTGTAGGTGGGGCACGTCATATTTAATGAAGCAAACCCTTACAGTTACGTTGATGAATGCGCTTGATCTCTTTTCCTTCACTCACCCCAGGCTACTTTTAGAAGCTCTTCTGCCCAGACACTGTTAAAAAACAATAAAATTCAAGCTTGGCAGAATTGTATTCCAGGGGATTGCTGAGGTGGCCAGTAGCAATCTGCTGAGATTTGGCAGTTAAAAACTGGCATTATTTTGCAGCCAGATCCATCAGCTTTGATTAGACCTGAAGGCACCACCCTGGTATCTGATTGCAGCATGCTCTGTTGAACCCCGCTAGGTACGAAGCAAACAAACTGCGTGTCTCCTGACCTCGATGCTCTTGTAGGCTTAATTGTTGAGCAAAGTCTCACTCATTTTCTGCTAAGAATCTGTAAAAACTTTGAATGCAATCCATATTTCTAAAATTACAATCTTTCCTTTACACTGGTGTGTGAGCTGTGTTCATAACTGCTGTGCCGTCTGCAAATTGTACGGGCTCCTCTTCCTCTTGCGTGTCGGTTGGCCAGAGCAGGTGTGCTGAAGGGGCAGGTTTCATGTAATGCATACGTTATACAAACTACAGGGACAGGTCAGGTGGAGTGCCGGTGTCGGAGAGCTGTGTAAAATCTAGAAGGAAGGGGAGAGGACGGAAAAATACATGGAATAAGCATAGCACAGTGGTTCTTCTGGTTCTGGCCTGCTACCCACTTATGTTTTTACCTTGGTAAGACATCTTACAGTTTGTCTTTCTGTGTTTATGAAATGAGACAATAATTATTTTTACCACAAAGGGTTGTTTGTGCAGAAGTTTGAACACACAAAAGATTTTGCTCATGTGGGTGCCCTGTCACTGAATTAGCAGGTGTTTGTAAACTACAGTTTCCACCTTTTGCCTAATTTTTGCCTAATCTGAAAAAGTTAGTCTCATTTTGATCTTCATAGTTTGAGATCAGATCCGATGCAAGACTTGTGATATGCAAAATAAAATCAACATAGAGCACTTTTTAATGCTTTTCAGCGCTGTTACTCAATATATGCATTCAACTGAGACTTTTTTCTAGTTTCAGATTATGCTTAGCACTGCATAGTGGGTACAGTACTGATTCCATACAATTCTTACTAAACTACAATTTCCACCTTTTGCCTAATTTTTGATCTGAAAAAGTTACTCTCATTTTGATCTTCATAGTTTGAGATCAGATCCGATGCAAGACTTGTGATATGCAAAATAAAATCAACATAGAGCACTTTTTAATGCTTTTCAGCGCTGTTACTCAATATATGCATTCAACTGAGACTTTTTTCTAGTTTCAGATTATGCTTAGCACTGCATAGTGGGTACAGTACTGATTCCATACAATTCTTACATATTGGCTGTTCACGGAGTTTGTAACCACAATGATTGTTCTTTGCAGTAGTGTATTTTACATACTGTCATAGAAGATACTACACTAGTATTAGACGTATTTTATCAAAAAATGCTTCTTTGGTAGTTGGACTTCTTCTAAGGCTTACAGAAAGAGGAAATGATCAGGTTATTTTTCCCCCTCAAAGGTTTGTTTTGCTTCTTTTTAAAAGAGTCAAAAGACTAGTATTGGATTTCTGTAATAAGCAGCAGTTTATCTGTTATTCAAAGGAATTGTTTCACCCATTTACAAAATTGCTCTGGCTGTTGCTAAGACCTAGATAAAGATCTCTAGCAATGCGGTGTTGAAGGCAGCAATTGATAAATTAGCGAGCATAATTTAAGAGAGAAAAAGACATGTAGTTTCCTTCCGTTAGAGGCTTAATTAATGAATGGCAGAAGCAGGTGTTAATGAACAGGATAAATATTGAAGCATGTGCGTACCTAAAAATAACCAAGGGACCGTCTTATAGGCGTTCATCCCTGAAATTAGACTTGTGTTGTTTCAGGAGTGGACGTCAGTATGAATACGCATCTCAAAGCAGTGAAAATGACACTGAAGAACAGAGAACCCGTACAGCTGGAGACGCTGAGTATTCGAGGGAATAACATCCGATACTTCATTCTGCCAGACAGTTTGCCTCTGGATACTTTGCTAGTGGATGTTGAACCAAAAGTCAAATCCAAGAAAAGAGAAGCAGGTTTGTGCTTTCCCAGTCTGTGTTTGTTCTGCCTTTGTATGCATTTTAGTACTGTGAATCTGAAGACATCTGATTTGAATGTCTTGGTATCTGCATTTGGCAGCTAGTTCTTTCATCTTTGAGGGTTTGATATAGAACTGGCTAAGGCTGCCTTGCCCACCCTCTTAGTACCTGTAGACCTTTCTTGCATGTGAAATTATGTGTATGGCTTTTCATACATCTGCTTTTAAAACCGTAAATGTTTTTAGGCTTGAATAAATCTTGACCTATCTCAGTCTCAGAGTTGACACCAAAGGGGTGTACATTTCCTCTTCTCCGAACGTCTGCTGTGTTTCCCAGTTTGCATGGGGAACTTCACACAGCCTGTTGAGGAAGTACAGAACAGCCTCTTGAACAGTGCTGAGTGCTTCACTGAGGATAAAAATAATCTGTCAGAGAACTGAATTTGAAAGACTTGAGACTCTGAGGGGGTCTAGGCTGTATTCCAACCAGCAGCTCTCTAGCTTTGGCTCCCAGTACTGTTCCACTCTGCGCTCTTCCTGGAACTTTTTTGTCAAAAGGCCATTGAAGAAAGATCTTTTCCTTAGAAACCTAACAGTATAGAGAGTAATTCAGTTTTAATCCACACTATTAAAGATTAATAACCAGTAAACCCCAAAAAATCTGTAGGTTGTCTTCAGGCAGTATATATTTTGCCCAATGACTAATCTGTGTGTTTTTAAAATAGTAAGTTGTAAGTGAAGGCTAATTGTGCTCTAAAATAATGTCGTACCATTTCTCCTGTAATTAGTGTTTAAGTATTTGGATCTGCGGTCTTTGATCCATGCGTATGTTACGAATTGGTGTGCTTACCTTATTGAAATGGTATAAGGAACCCTAAGGTATGTGCATCACAAGGTGCAAGTGTTATGGCTGCTGTCTTTATAGAGAATAAGGATAAAGCTCCTGAAAGTGTTTTGCTCCTCTCAAGTCCATTAAAAATAATCTGACCAGGTGGAGAAATTGGAGCGTGGTTGGATTGCTTTTTTCTGAACCTCCCGATGTGATGTGAACAAGAACATCACTATTTCTTTTTAACTTTGAAGAAAGAAAAGGAGCTGCGATAGCGCTATTTACCTCGGTTTAATACTCCTTGCATCTTCACCGTACTGAAGCACTCTCAGACCGCAGCTGCGTTGCGCTGCACTTTGCCTGAATCTGTAAATGCCCTTGGGCTTCAAAAGCTTGTAACGCATGGTCTGTCCTTGCCAAGTGAAATTGTCGCCTGGAGGCAGGATGCTGGCTGAGAGATGGACGTGGCACGTGTGCCTTGGGTCTGAGCGTGCTGCCGTTTAGTGAGTACGACTGTCTACTGATGCAGTAATTGTTCAGTCAGGTGTTGATGCTTCCGTGTGTTTTACACAGAATCAGACTGTTACCAGCAAGACAAGCGACACCTTCCTTCTCACAGATTTGTCCCGTGCCTCTGCTCTTTCTGTCTTCACTGCGTTTCTGACCCACATATCCTCAGATGGAACAGAATAATTGTTACAGCCTGCTTCTTGAATGTGGATGCTACTGTGTGTCTCTTGCCCAGCCACCCACCTCCACAGAATTTTAAGTTTCTCGATATCTTTTTGAGCCTTACACTGGCAAACTTGTTTGAAATTAACCAGAAATTTCAAAGGTTTGTAGGGTGGCCTTGCAACCTGATGGGGGAGATCATATTTCTTTAGGAAAAAGGGGTGGAATGAGATATTATCATCATATGGATCATATGATCTCCAGCAGTTGCTTACAGCCTGAATTACGCTGTGATTGTCTTCCCTTTACCATTAAATAGCACTATTTAAAAGTAGGAGCACCTTGGCCTGAGAATCACATTTGAAATTGGCAGAGGCATCGTTGAAAACAGCAGGAGCTGCTGGGTGCTGGGATCCTTTCAAAATGCTGCCCTTTCATGTGGTGCCTGAGAAAGGGTGAGCTTGGGAACGTCCCAGCGTGTTAAAACTCACTTTTCCCTTTAGCAGCGCACTTTATAAACTACAATGTGAGCTGTGGCCAAAAAACGTCTTTTCCACTGTAGTGAATAGTAAACAAAATACTCTGTCTTGCATATGCTTTTTCTGATGCCTGAGAAACTAGATTTTGTCAAAAAAAAAGAAGAGGGATCATAGTTCTCTGTCAGACTTACCCTAGCATTTGGGAGCAGCCAACTGTTATATCCCCTTGTTTTCTGCAGTGAAGCCAAAGCCAGACAGTAGTCTGTGGAAATTGTGTACTAACACAAAAGATGAAAATATTGTCTGAAACTTACTGAGAATTAACAGACTTGATATCTGACTTAATGTCTCATCGCAGGGAAGCAGTATGTTGTTTATGCTTGATGCAGAATGTTTTAATCAAAACGAAAGTATTCCTGGGTCTCACTTGATTTACCCTTTTTGTTCCATCTGCTCAGTTGCTGGAAGAGGCCGTGGCAGAGGCCGTGGGAGAGGCCGAGGTCGTGGAAGAGGAAGAGGGGGCCCAAGGCGATAACTTCTCACCGTGCAACTGTTACCAAATTCTGGGCAATTTTGGATCTTTTTTTGTACAGGTCTTGTTTATGGTATCCATTTTTAATAAACTGAAATGTGAAAAAGTTGTCTTTCCTTTGTTAGTGAAGTCTGGGGAGGGAGGCACGTCCTATTTCTAGAGGCTGTTGCAGACTAAGCATGTCTTCTTGGTGTTGGTTGTCATTGTCAAGATTTCACCCACCCCTGAAGGCTGTACAGTTACCTCTTGCTTTTTGCCCCAGAGCAAGAGGCTTGTGTTGGTGTGCTCTAACAACGTTTGTTTGAAATTAATCCCTCTTTTGTAAGGCACTTGCCATCTTCTAATGGTGATATAGTTAAGACTCTATATGAAGAACCCGCATCCTGTGAGTGTGTCTCTAATATTAGTCGTTCTGCAGAGTGACCTCTTTAAAGTTCATAGATACAATTTTACTGTTTTCTATTACATGAAGCTTACAATTTAAACATGTTGCTTTCTTTATAAAACATTCACATAGGGAAATTAACAAGTTCTGTGGAACTGCTGGATTGTTATATTTCATGATTAAAGTATATCTGGATATGAACTTTGTCACAGCTAATTATATGGCATACTTTTGTTTGGGTGGGGCTTGTAAAGCAGCTTTATCTAAGATTTCTTCTATCTACCTAAAGTGCATCCCTAGACAATACAAAGTACAGCACAGTGCACAATTACGTACGGGAATTGGAAGTTTACTTCTGGAGATGAGAGAATTTGTGCAGCTCATATATATATATATATTTATATTATATATTTATATATATATAAAAAAACCACAACTGCTTTGCTGGACCCAAGTATAAAAGAAGCAGTGTTGGCCACATTTATCTTGAATGCCATCCTACTGACTTTTCCCTTGTAGGAAGGGGATTATCGCATTCGCATTGCAAGACTTCAGCAGTTTCATCTGTTGATGAAATACAGATGTCATTTCAAATAACATGCATGCTTAAGCGTGGCTTTCTTGAATGGTGCTTTGGTGCAGGAACATGCTTAGCTGGTTGCTCATGTTTCCACACAGGCAGTGCTACAACAGAGTGGAAAAGAATTACCTAAGGTGTAATGGTTGATAGCTGGTTAATTTGTGCTAGCTAGCATTTTGTGAGCTGCCCTTCTTTTTTTCCCTCTCTTACAGAGGCCATTTTAAAGCTTCATCTTGTTACAGAAGAGCTTTTTTTCCCCAAACCATTGTGGAACCTCCTAAGAGCACTTTTTGGTCAATATAGCACCCCCGATTCTCAACTCTAAATAGCTGCTACAAGTAATGGTTGCTGCTGTCTTCCAGAAGTGCCCGGGCACTGACGATGGGGGCGAGGTCTTCCCAAATCCAGCTGTCGGCGTTCACGCGACAGTTGAAACGCTTTCCCTCTTCAGTCTCTTCCGTATAAAAGTTACTAGTGCCCCCAGGGGTATGCACATGGTGGATGCCGCCACCAGCAGCCCGATCACCGCCAGGGCGTAGCCTGGGTAGTCCTTTGTCACCAGCTGCCCCTGCAAGGGAGAGAAGCAGCGCTGGGTCTGTGGGGTCTCTGGTTTTCTGTCTCCCGGAGTCGGGCCTGGAGCAAAGCTGTGTATTTAAACAGGATGCCTGAGAAGCACTTGCAGGCTACAGCAGCCCGCGACTGTCCTCAGTGCTTTTCTTTGTCCAACCATACAAGCTTAAAATGGACAAGAACAGAGCTGCTGACGAAAATACTGGGGAAAACTTCTGCAAGCTTTGGTAAAGAGCAGATTTTGGCTTGATTCACATTTTTTAATGAGATGGCTGGGCCTTGACCTCTGTCGGGTCTCTGCGTTCCTCTCCTGGAGCCTGCGGGCTCATGCTGACACCCAGTCAGCGGGTCCCAAAT